TCCGCGGAGTATAGTTAGAATGTTCAAATGTTGTAAAATTAAATGGGGCGGGCATGTAGCAAGAATGGGGAGAAGAAGAAAGAGACTACTAGGAAGACCATGACGTAAATGAGTGGATACTATTAAAATGGATCTTCAAGAGATAGGACAAGGTGATATGGACTGAATTCAGGTGGCTCAGGATAGGGACCAGTGGAGGGCTCTTGTGAACACGGCAATAAACTTCCGCGTTCCATGAAATGTTGGGGAGTTCTTGAGTAGATGCACAACTGGCGGCTGCTCAAGAAGGGCTCAGCTCCATGGAGTTAGTTTCTGTTAGGTTCCCGCAACGCTTACTGTGAAAAGTAGCGTTTCCTGACTTATATCGTGTAGTCCGGCAGCTCACCGACGTTTCGGACGAACGTAATTTCTCCACCTTCAGGGCCTAATAATATGCCAAACAAGCAGATCTTCTGCCTTTTGCTAGCTCAGTATAATTCCTATGCCTTAATTTGGAGTCAGTTCCTTCGAAACGTCGATGAACTTGTACCGGACTAACGATGTCACAAGTCCCTTGTCATTTAGTTGCTGTGAAGCCACATCATTGCATATTTACGGAATGTTCATATGGCTGTACGTTGAACTGAACTTAACTCTGTGATTATTCAATATTTCTGTCCGTATTATTTTAGTTACTGTTGATCTCTTTCGATCCTGTAGGCTGCTTGTGGTGTCCGTCATCAAACACCAATCTTACACGCACTGGATAATTCACAAGACGGCTCATCTTCCTTAAGAAATTTAGTAGACTCAAAATGTCGTTAGTACGTAGTAAAAGAGACATACACCTCCCGTCCCAGCGAGTAGATTATTGGTAGGTTTTATCACCACCCAGTAAAAGAAACGCACCTACATGCGGGTTCACGTTGAGCGTGTGATACTGTTGCTGGTAATGGCCCATAAAAGAGTTTGGTCTGTTTTTAATGCTTTGGCCCGTCTTGTTTGTGCATGTTGGGTCTTATCTTGAAGAAGAGGAAGTAACTGGAGGATGGGAGCATAGCTGCTGTGGCCACCATCATTATCAGAATGTGGAACTCCTGAAGCCGAGATGGCCGTAGCGTGTGGCACAGAGCAGAAATGCTACCACATTTTTGTCAGAAAACGTGAAGGTAAAACGACTGTTTCAAGACGGAGACATAAATGGGGGACACGGCAGTGTAATTGGTTGAGGCACTATGCTACAAGCCTGAAGGTTGCGGGTTCGATTCCCCATGAGGTCATTGCATTTTTCCTTCCAGCTACCCTATGTCCCTGGGACCGACTCAACCTCTGACAGAAATGAGTACCAGGAACCTTCCTGGGGGTAAAGGGTGGCCGGCGCGTAAGGCTGACCTCGGCCATATGTGAGCCGATTAAAATGCTGGAGCCTCGACGTCTCGCAACCTTACAGTCCCCTTACGGCCTGTTACAGGGGTAGCTTTACTTTTCTTGTATCTTTTACACATAGATGGCCGATCGCAGTGGCTGCGCGGTCTCAAGTATATGTGTTCGCCCGCTCGAACACTGGGATCGTGGGCTCGAATCCCACTCGAGGCATGGATGTATGTCTGTGTTTATTCTATGTTTGTGTTAGGTAGCGGCCTTATGACGGAGTCCTTCCGTCTGTCTAAGATTAAGAAACTCCTCGACAGTAGTGAGTCCGGGCTTGAAGCTCGCCATTTATTTCTACGCGTAGCGCCGAGTTTAAGCATGTGTAAAGGCGCGTCCACATTACTCGTGCTCGTGCTCGCCAGGCTTCGGCGCGTGAGGATCCGTATATTTACTCGCAGTGTGTATAGGCTGTAGTCGTATTTTAATTTATTGGCTATAGTTTTTAAATTAAAAATTAAAAATTTGCTTGTCTCGTGACTTGTCATATCGTCCACATTACTCGCGAGTATAGCGAGTCACACGAGCACGAGTAATGTGGACGCGCCTTAATACTTATTTAAGCAAAGGGACACCGTTATCTCAGGGGTACATACACGTACAAGTAGTTACCACTGCAGCGGCTGTGGTGTGTGTTTGCTTATTGGGCAAGGAAGTAGCATACTGTGGCATATTCACTCAAAGCAAGAATTGTGGAACTACAACAGTCGGCCGTTACTAGGCAGCGGCCCCTAAACAGCAACAGCGGAATGTTTTCTGCGCAGTCAGTGCCGATGTTTGCGCACGCAACAATGGAATACGTCATTCCATCGCTAAGCAACATCTACACTCCAACGGACGAACGGTGTTTATACGCGGTCCCTACCGAGGTGTTATAAGCAGGACAAATGTGTGTGTGTGTAATGCCCTAGCGGCGCAGGGGGGAATGGAGGTATCCCTCCCGCTGCTGCCGCCGCTGTAATGCCGTGGTACAGGGGGGCGTGGAGTCAGCCCGCCTCTGTCACCACGGTAACTCCGCATGTAGGGGCCGTGGAGGTATCCTTCCTTGCCTCCACTGGTTATGTCGTAAACTGGTACTCCTGGTAACGTCGCGCCGTCGGGGGTGTGCAGGTACCCCTCCTTGCCTCCACTGGTTATGCTGTAAGGCGTTAACGCAACCATCCTAGCTTACCCTTAGCTAGGATTCTCCTATCTCGGAGTTTCCTTCTGTCATACAAGCTGCCACCATCTATTCTCTGTTCTTTCAATTGTTGGTACTACTCCCTGACATATAGT